AATATGTAGATAGTACAATAGTATAGTACAACACATAATTCAGTTATCAAAAAAACTGAATGAGCTCCATGCAATTACTAAAAAATGTTATTGTAACAAATCAATATTGCTCCATCCAATTGTGCAACCTCAAACACCATGTGGTCCATTGCAATTTTGTCAGCTATGTTATCTTAGAAGAGGCCTACTGCATGCAAGAACCAATCACATGAAGAACACAGACACATGCCAACCCTGATATAGTAGTTTAGAAAAAGGTTCAGACATATAGTAGTTCAGACATACAAAAGGTTCAGAAAAATACAGACGATGTTTCGATTGCAAGCACACATATAGTAGTTCAGAAAATAAAGTTCCTGATATGTTCAGTCCTCTTTAATCATGTGTATAACGTATCTGACAGAACCAAATAAACAAAAACTGCTAAATGGTAGTCCTATTTAAGCATGTGTATCAGCGAGCGCATCTGCACATGCATGGAGGATCGAAATCATATCATAGCATTAGCAATAGCATATATAGCATACATGACGCAGCTTGGTGGTCAGGCCGAGAGCGGAAGCGACTACACCAGTAGCCTGCAATTTCATCATTCAACTCATAGATACATGTAAGCAAAGACATCCACTAAAATGGAAATTGAATACAATGCAGTGCATGTGCTACATCCTATGCATCCACAGATCCACAAGAAGAGCTTTCTGAATAATCTCTATTTTCAAATGGCTAGGTGAGGGAAAGAAAGCAGACATCAACCTCCATTAACTTGTCCAAGGTCAAGAAAGTAATGACTAATGATGTACAATCCTAGCACCTAAAACACAAATCACAAACATAGGGAGGACGAAAGGAGGAGATCCCCCCACCACCACATGCAGTGACCACAGGTCCTTGCACCGACATTCTACATGAATAGATCAAACACTCCAAACTGAATTACAGAGCAATGGATAGATCTGGACACACTCCAAACTCTCGTCTCCCATTGACACCACCATCACAGACGGACAATCGTCAGATGTCATCTTTGCGGCGGCGAAGAATAAACATCACCACAAGGCAAATCGACACGATAACACTCGATCTAATGAACTAAGCCCTCAAATCGCTCTACTAAACAAAGCCAACTCAAATACCGAGATCCAGCACCACGAAAATCCAAACAAAAATACCTCAACTCAAAGGGAGAGGGAGCCGCGAACGAAGCTACCTGCCGACCCCTGGCAGCGCCGCCGCGATGAAGCCTCCAAACCGGCGACGGAGAAGATCCGCAGCAGGATGGGGAGGACCAAGGACAGAGGAAGAAGAATCGCCCCCTCCGCCCGGACAAGCACCGAGTCCCTTTCTGTCTGGGCGTGCGGATCGAGAATACAAACAGTGTTGGGTTCGGTGTTTTGTCCATAACCGGTAGCGGGCGCTACTAACATTCCCGAACCACGCTCAACAATACTAGACCCGATAAAAGAAGATGCGGACCCGACAAGCACCACAGCTGGCGCACGGTTCACAAAGCGCATCCAACGGACCACGCATGGCCTGAAGAGAGCAGCCAGATATCAGGCGACAGAGACATAGGAAAAGTGTATACATTCATAGTTATACTTTGTAACTTGTGAATTTAGAGGCAGGAGGACATTTAACATAATTAGTGTTTGTTTTCATCTTATTCTCTTTTATCATATAACTAAATTCTTTTGGAAATAATCTTCAATGTCTTGTTAAATTAAATATGTTAAATGCTTGCAAAAGTAAGGCTAGTTGATGCGAACTCAACAAGAAATAAGTAGTGCACAAAAATTATATAATATAAATAACTACTTTTGTTGGATCATTTAACAACCCGAAAAAGGGTCACGGTTTATTTGTGCTTTCACGTCGAGGTAAAAGCAAGTGCTTCAGGAACGCACTGAAAACAGTTGAAGCAGGTTTAGGCCGGTCTAGCATTGGGCTTTTACCCTAGTCAACGTAAGAAAGTATTTACCGATCCTTTCAATTGGATTTAACTCCGGTGACACGTCCACAGATTACAGCATGCACCGCCGCCGCCCTTTCCTACTCCAACCAGCAAACGACCGTACGAAAGCTCCTAGAGACTCTCTTCCTCTTCTACCATCCCGGCGCCTCTTTCATCGGCTCCCTTCCGGACGCCTTGCCTCCACCACCGGGCCTCGCGACCCAGCGACTGCGACTGGCCTATCGCGCCCCGGCAACTCCGCCACCCACACGTCTGCTCCGCCTCCGCGCGCAGCTTCCCCGCACGGGCGTGCCGCCTCCAGCCCTCTCCGTACGAGCCTCCACCTCGGCACCTCCCTTGGAGCTCCCTTCGTGCCGCCGTCGCTCGCTCCGTCTTCTGCGCCGCCGTCGTCGGCGTTGACTCGCCTCGACGAAGTGTTGGCCCCACCGGAGCTCGCGGAAGGTTGCGAAGCTATACGTTTTTCGGCTCTGGCCTTCTTTTCGCCCTTGTCTCAGCGGGTTTTGCGTGGATTCGCCGACAGAGTGGTACGGCGGAGGCCGTTTGGTTCGGCAGCACGCTGAGCTGTTGATGGAGCGGGTTGGGACCTCTACCAAACGGTCACCTTCGCCCTTCAAATTGCGTCGCTTCGCCGACAAACGATCGTAAATTTCAAATTTGAGAAACAGTATTTTTCTCTCACACCAAACCAAACCAGAAATAATCTATCTACGATACGATCTCGATCCTCCTTAATGCGCTCAATTTAGTCCTTTTGAATCTCTCGATTTGGTCCTTGGTTATTTTGGACACAATTTTGGTGTTTGGTTTCGATTTGGAATTGCTTTTGAACAGAGATTTTGTCCCGATCTTGTCTATAATAATAGCCTCAATTTGGTCTTTTCAATCTCGATTTGGTCCGTGGTTATTTTGGACACAGATTTGGTCTCTGGTGTCGATTTGCTCCATATGGTGTGTTTATTTATTGATAATAATGATGGTTGCGTCGGGACTCGGAAAACAGAAACGCAGATGGCTCCGGCCAGGAGACAAGCTCTGGATGGGTACCGTGTAGGATGTGGTGTCCAGGTGGAAGATGATACGGTTTTATCGACGACTTCTTGTAGTACGGACGGGAGAGGTAGGAGACAAGCACTTTAAAACAACGTAGCAACGCTTTATAAAACACATAAGCTTGGCCTGCCGTCATGAGACGCAGAGGGATAGAGCTGAGTGGGCCGGGTAGTTGGGCTAAGATAGAATGGGCTGGACGAAACAAAAAAGATCAGAAATTTTGTCTTTTTATTATTAGGGATAGAGATATAGATTAGCAACAACCCAAATCTTCTTCTTGTCTTCTGCTTCAGACTCCGCTCTTATCCGATAATTTGACGTCTGACGTCACACGCTCCTGATGATGCACGGCCAGGGTTTTTTTTTTATTTGATGACAAGATAATGCTTGGCCAGTTCAGTTGCTTGTTCTCCTCGAACTCGAAGGCTGCTTGGTGCAAGTCGATAGCTTGGCCCGGCCTGTAGGGCGTGCTTCGGCACGGCCATGCCTGACTCGGTAGGATTGGACCATGCCTTTTCGAGCCCATGTCGGGCCAGTCCTGACATCTATAGCAGGTGCTTCCACTCAAAAAAAAATCTATAGCAGGTGCTAACAGCATGGAATTTTGCAAGGTCCAACCAACCACGCGAGCACGTATGGGCATTTTTGAGTTGCTAAAAAAAACGTATGGGCATTTTTGTTTCACCATTTTGGATTTGAAAAAGTCCATTTTGCCTTCCTCAACTATCACGAAAGTCAGTTTTTCTCCCTTCAACTCTAAAACTAGAAATAGTTTCTTCCTCGTCTCTCAAAACCGATCACTTGACCTCCATGGTTGTCTTCCTTGGTGGTTTTTCTTTTATCTTTTATCTTTATTTCGCAGATTTTTTGAAAAATCATAGTAAATCACTGAAAAATCATAAAATGGAAATCCAATTGTGTTGGACTCTACATGAGTAGATCTACACAGTGAATATATGATATGATATGCTTTAGAACAAAGCTTTTGTTGTAATTTTAAATCTATGTTTTTATTTAATTAATTCATAGCTGCAGTTTCTCTGGTCAAATTATGGTGAAATTTTTATGGTGGATTTAATCATTGCATACTTTGAGCTAGAGAAAAATTTCATGCTCATTAGATCATATAATTTTTTATGCTTGATCTATAGACAAACACGTATGCTACGGTGAAGCATCCTATGTGCGAATCACCTTGCATCAATATACTAGCGCCATCTTTATTCTTAAAATAGAAAACCTTAAGCGGGTAGGGTAGAGAAACCTGATTACTCTCTCCGTTCCAAATTATACGTTGCTTTAATTTTTTTGTCACATCTATTTTGTTGTGTATTTATATATAATAATAGTCTACATACATAGCAAAAACGGGTGAAAAAAAAGTAACGGCTTATAATTTGGAACGAAGGGAGTAATTCATAATATTAACCTTGTAATTAATCCAGTCTCCTTTCAAAATTCCTTTTGGCCGCCCTACTCTGTACTCTCCCTCGCCTTCCATTTTTGGATTGTGTTCCACGGGTTCATCTTGACTCGTAAAAATCGAGAAGAAAAATCTTGCTGAAAACCTTTTCACGAAAAAAAACACAAAGAACTAGGCCGCCGCAGGTCACAAACGAACATGAAGTAGCCGAGCAACGAAGCAAGTAGTATCAACTGTGCCATGGCCCATGGGCCCTGGCGAGCTCGATCATGTGTATTCACTGTCCTATCCAGCGCCAAGAAAACCTTATTAAACTTTCAGAAAAGTTCAGACACTGCAGGTCCTAGCACTAGGGTTACATGATGATCCTACCGACGCCCCTCATCACCTCTACTAGATTGTTGCTTCCCAAGATTAAAAAAAAGATTCTTGCCTCCCTAATTGGTCACAACATGGTAATGGTGACCAAAATCGACGAAACTGCTTCAATTTTACACAGGTGGCCCTCCGTAAAGGCCGCAAAATGTCCAGACTCCAGGGTGATAAACCAGTTCAGCACTCAGCTGCAGCTCTCTTCCTGCTCGCTGCCCTCAGCTGCAAAAGCAAGAACAAAGGGGGCAAGGATCAGCAAAACATTTTGAGGCTAAGATATCAATAGAACAAACAGATTTCAGAGCGGCGTCACTGACCGACGACGGGTTGAGATCGGAGCTCCTCAGCACGCGCAGGCGCCTGGCGGAGGCGATGAACATCCTGGTCGAACGCAAGAACCAATCAAGAAAAACTTGGTCGGTCAGTAAACAGAGCAGGCGCGCGCGTTGACGATCGCAAGACAAGAAAGAGAACTGATCTGGTGAACTCACGGCCACGGCACGTCCCCGACCAGCATCTGGTCGCCCTCGTCGTCCTCGTACACCAGCGTGTACTCGCCGCCGCCGTTCAGGATCCCCGCGACCGCCTGCCGCTCCCCGCCTGATCCCGACGTTTGAGCTGGCGGCAAGCAGAGATCGATCGTCAGTTCATATAACACTCGCATGGTGGTGTGGTGATCCGCACGCACGCACGCACGTACCGGCGAGGAGGCCGCGGAAGAGGTGGTCGACGGCGGCGGAGAGCGTGTCGTAGCCGGCGTGCGCGCCCAGGTCGAGCTTCCGGCCGATGGGGACGCCGTCCATGTTGATCTTGACGAACAGGCCCTTGTTCCCGGGCTCCACGGCCTTGCCGCCGGCGCTTGCGGGCTCCTTGCCTCTCTGGCTTGATGGCTCGCGGGACGGCTTGGAGGACGACGACGAGGCGAGGTTCCGCCGGAATGCGCGCACCGGCGGCCATCCCACGACCGGAGCAGCTGCCGCCGACCTGAAGAATTGAAATTCAGGCAGTTCAGACTTCAGATGATGAAGCACCATTAGAACAGTAAATACGTACTCATCAACTAAACAGAGGAGCAGGATTCCCCCGTCTTTTGTTCCGGATTTCGTTTCAGGAAAAGAAAAGAGGAGCAACCAAAAGCAGGAGAAGCAGTAACAGGGCAACAGGCGGCGAGAAAGAATGAAAGATTCATCGGTTACCTGGCCTTGAAGCCATTGCTTCCCTTCGCTCGCGCAGCAGCAGCAGCAGCAGCAGCCGCCGCTCGCTTTCTCCTCGAAACCTGAAACCACCAGGCCAACACAGAACACAACGATCGAATCATTGAAGCCATGGAACCCGTTCCTGATCAGGCAAAGAAGCACATGAATGAACGCGGCGGCACCTGCAGCTTGGGTTGGCGATCCGGAGAAGTAGCCCGGGAGGCCCAGGCTGAGCTCAAGGCCGCTGCCCTCATCGTCATCGCCGAAGCTGCCATTCCAAGCCATCTCCGATTCCGATCCTCACTGCTCACTGCTCTCTGCCTCTCTCCCACACACGGCCTCACCCTCTTCCTGTCTCCTACGTAGACGCAGACGCAGCTGTGCTCCTATCTATACCTGTGCACGCGGAGGCAGCTGTGCTTGAACAGTCGGGATATTTAACTTCTCTCCACTCTTGTGATCGGCGCGAGCTCAATTGCCACGTTTGTCCTAATTTTTTTTTCCCTAAACTGACCAAAACTTACAGTTTGTAGATATTTTGGCTACGTGACACGCCCAGTCAGTTTACCAGCATGGCGGTACATGCAAAAAGACCTCGCTGCCCTTGCCTTATCCCTTAACCGTGTGGGCTCGCTCCCCGTATCTTCAGCAGCCCCATTCTTCTTCTTCTCCAACGGCTCCTTTCTCTTCTTCTCCACCTGTGGATCTGAACGCCACACTCTCCAGTGCACTCCCACTCCTTCTTCTTGCTGACCTCGCCATCCGCTGCGCCATGTCTTCCCCTCGCTGGTGGGGAGAGTCGTCGAGGCAAGGGAGCAGGGCTTCTCGGCCGATGGCTAGACCGGTCGTTTGCCCTAGGCACCGCATCTTGGATGGAGATGAGATCAGGGCTCCCACTGATCCAGTGCCCTGAGTGTGGTCAGGCTCGGGTCATCGAACTACGAGCATGGACAGAGGAGAACTATGGTAGGGTTTTTTTCAAGTGCCCGACGAACGTGCAAGGGGTGAGATTTGTTTGCGTTTGATCTCGTTTCTTATCCATTTTCCTCTTTTTTTGCTAATTGGGATCTACATTGGTGAGTTTGAAGCTCATTTTCATTGATATGTTTTTAGGATCCAATGTCCCTTCTTCGAATGGCAAAATAAGTACCTGAAGAAGCTGGTTGAGCTAGGCAAGGTGACACTGCACGATGTGGCTGCTGATGATGAAGAAGGAGAGGTTGAAGCAGAGTCTATTCCATCCAGTGCTAGGCAAATACAATCACAGATGGAGAACTTGATCTCAATTGTGAAGCTGTTGGTGTTGGTTCTCGGTGGACTGCTAGTTGTAGGGATTATGTACCTTATCAAGTAGTGTTTGGGTGATATGTAATTTGGCAAATGCCGATGAACCTGATGTACCTATGAACCTCATCCTCATGTATGGATCATGTTATGTCTAATGCATTTGATTCAGCTGCATGTTGTGGTTTACAAACTAAATATGACAGTGCTTGAAAAATTGTCCACAAACATGCAATTTGCAATAAAATGAGTAAGGCAACACATCCATTACATGTTCCAGCAACATAGGCACTAAAGTTTGCAGTCTTCTAGCTAACAAAGTTCAGCAGTTGCTAATAAGAGCTGCAGGGCAACAAAACCATTATCCCTAGCCATTACATGTTTTTTGCTAGTACTGGCAGCACAAAATAGATTACACAGCCATTGTTTGCAGGTTTTCAAGGCTACATAGCCATTACAAAATAGCCCAAATTCAGACTTCTTGCTTATCAAACAGATTAGGTCTTGGTTGGATTGACCTTCTTCACCTTCGAAGCCAACTGTTTCTTCCTGGGCGTCATCTTCTTAGCAGGTGCAGGGTGATCTTCACATACAACCATCTCTAGTGGTACAGGCTCATCTAAGGGCAACCTCTTGGATCGTGGGATGCATTGTTAGGTAATTGAACCTATAATATGGACCAGAAACATGGAAACTGGATGAAACGTACCTCTTAGCAAGTGGAATTGAAGTTGGTTGTTCTTGAAATTCAGCTTCAGCTGCTGTTGCTGCTTCCCTAGCAGCTGCTGCCCTTGTTCTTGGAGTATTTGGAGCTAGCTTGGAGGGAGACGGTTGCTTGGATGAAGAACCTTCCTTGGGTGCATCAGTCTTCGTCTTCTTCCTCCCCACTGTTGATTCAATCTTTTTGATCCTTTTTTTACATTTTTAGTTAGTTAGTACAGATTATTAGTACAACAATGATGTAAATTTGGTTAGAGTGATACCTTTTCTTAGTGCCAGTTAGGGGACAGTTGGAGCTTCCTTTCCTGTGCCCAAGTTCACCACAACAATCACACTTTGATTGTCTTGTGGCTTTCTCTGTCCTCTCCAAGCAAGATAAACTCCTTTTCTTCCTCAGCCTTCCAGTAGTTTTCTTTTTTGGCTTTGGCAACTGGTGGCTGCAACTTGAAACCTTTGTCCACTTGAGGCCACTGATTCCTATCAGTGATGTTTGGTATTACTCCTGCATATGCAGCTTTAAATTTCTCAACTGAGAAGACCATGTCTATGTATTGTTCCATGTTTGGGTTCCTTTCTATGGTGATGACTGCCAATGCATGCTGGCAAGGCTTCCCACTAACCTCCCATTCTCTGCAAGTGCATATTTTCTGATCTAGGTAGACAACATGTCTTCTCACTTCTTCATCTTTGTACACTACTGCCACCTCTTGAAAGGTCCCTATGTGGTTTTGGTAATTGAGTGACAACCTAGGTGGACTAATTGTGTTTATGTGAGATACACAGGTGATTAGTCCACAGGTACATGTGTGTGAGCAACATATGCCATGAAGGTGAAAATGGCTTGGAGATGTTGCAAAGCTCACACATGTGATGATGAAGGAGCTTAATGCACATGAGACATGACATTGAGTCATGTGATCAAGGTGGAGAAGATCAAGACAAGACTTGGCTTGATAGACCGGTTGCGAGCGTGAAGGGCAAGTCAAAGGCTTTGGAGTGATGGACCGCGTGGCGGTGAAGCTTGAGCAAGACTTGGCGCCGATGGACGATGGCAACGGTGAAGGGCAAGTGAAGTCAAGATCGAAGAACCAATATGATCACGTGATGATATGAAGTGGATAATATCATTGTTGATCGTGTCGGTGCATGTGTTGCATCGACGTTGGAGGAGATGGAATGGAATGCGCAAGGCAAAGATATAACCTAGGGCATTTCATTTCACCGGTCATAGGTGTGTAGAGAAGTTTATGACCGGGTTTAGGATAGATGGCCGTACTATCAAGAGGGGCAAACTTGTTTGCATATCGGTCATCTAGTGCCACTCGAGTGATCTAACTTTGCATCGTCGCTAGGATCGAGTGGCGTGGCAAGTTGAGTGGCTAACATCCTTTGGGAAATGATTGTGAAAAGCTAACACACATACACATGGTGGTGTACACTTGGTGGTGTTGGCACATTTACAAAAGGAGGTGGTGTTTGCAGGGTTGAGATGGGTTTGGCTCGGCGGGATTCGGCGTTTTTGAGAAAATGGAATGCCTATTTTCTATTGCGTCGAATGCAAATTCTTGTGGTTGGCACATTGGAGCAAGGGTGAAGAAGTTAGAAGTGAAAACGAGTTGATCACGAAGACGCTGGCGTCGGTCAACTGACCGGACGCTGGCAGGGTGCGTCCGGTCAGGCTGACGTACGGTGACGCAGAAGCTGGAGTGTGACCGGACGCTGGGCTGCGTCCGATCACGTGCGACCGGACGTGTCTGGTCAAAGAAATACGCCTCGGGTACCTTACTGGAAACGACCGGACGCTGGGGTCCAGCGTCCGGTCAGTTGAAGCTGCTGCGTCCGGTCAGGTCAAGTGACTGTTGGAATCAGGACACGTGGCCGTCTGCGGGCGACCGGACGCTGAGGTCCCACTTCCGGTCAACACGACCGGAGCGTCCGGTCGGCCCGATTTTTGCCCAGTGAAGGAGTAACGGCTAGTTTAGCCCTTGGGGCTATAAATAGAAGTGGCCTTTAGCCATGGCTGGTGTTGAGCACCTAAGGGGACTTAGTGTCCATGCTTGTGAGTGCTTGGGAGCCCTCCATTACACATATACTTGATAGTGATCATTCGATTGTGTGAGTGAGCGATTCTAGTGCGATTGCATCGTGAGGTTACATCGAGTGGCACTAGGTGGTCGTGTTGCAAGCCGGTGGTGCTTGTTACTCTTGGAGGTTGCCACCTCCTAGACAGCTTGGTGGTGGTCTCCGTCGAAGCCCGCAAGAAGCTTGTGCAACGCTCCGGAGAAGTGCTTGTGAGGGGTACTTGTGCTCGCCCCGCGGGAGTCGCGAAGAGCAACTTTAGTAAAGCGTGTCATTGAGCTACCCTCACTCAAGGGGTAGGTTCTTGCGGTGCCCGACGTGCGGGCTTAGCGGGTGATGCTAATTAGCCGCCGAACCACCAAGTGAGCGGTCGACACAACGGGGACTAGCGTGTTGGCAAACACGTGAACCTCGGGAGAAAAATCATCGTGTCAACCTTGTTCTTCCCGTTGGTTTGCATCCCCATTACACAAGCTTGCAATTACTTATATATATCTTAAGCTTGTGTAGTTGCTCTTGTAATTAGATAGCTTGTGTAGCTAGCTAATTACCTTCTTGCTTGTGTAGCATAGAAGTAGCTCGCTTGCGTGGCTAATTTGGTTTTAGTAACCTTGTTAGTCATATTGCTTAGTTTGTGTAGCTAAGTATTTACGCTCTCTAATTAGGCATTGGTTGCCTTGTTATTGAGCATTGCTAGTGAGCTTAGTTAGCTTTGTGCTTTTGCTTACTAGCATGTGTAGGAGCTCCCTTGTTACTTAAAGTACTAGTGGCATAGGTTTGTGTGACCTTGCTCCTAGAATTGTTTAGGAGAGCTCTAGCTAGCCCGGCACCTTAGTTGCTTTATTAGTATCTTTGCAAGGTGCTAGCGAACATATATAGAGGGGTGTAGTCTTGGCTAGACCGATTATTTTAATTCCGCATTTATATCGGTTAGCCGACGTGATTAATTTTAGAAAAGACTATTCATCCCCCCTCTAGTCCGCCATCTCGACCCTTCACCTCTGCTTGGTTTCTATCCCCTTTTGTGACCTTCAAGTGCCCCAATCCTTTTGATGCATCATTCATCTGATGAACCACAGCAGGCAGTATAGTTCCCTGTCATCCTGCCTTCAACTCTGCTTATTGATGGACAATTATGCTCCCTGTCATTTATCTGTACCTACACATGCAAATATATTGATTATCAGTCCACCAATATTTAG